GGTCTACTTTTGTAGACTGCAGTGCCAATAATAATTTTCAGAGTCCTAATCAGCTTCATTTTGCTGGCATTGCTGGGGCTCCCTTCTGTTCCTGGTAGTGCTGCCTTCTGGGGAAGAAGGTACTTCCTGGAACACCTCTTGCTGGGACCAGGAGCTGTGAGGTCTACTAAGATCTCTGAGCTGGGTGAGGGCTCAGAGATGTAGGCCTTTGCTGACAGTGCCTATTCTTTTTTTTTTTTTTTTTTTTGAGATAGAGTCATATGTCACCCTTGGTAGCCCAACCCCTGGTTATTTTTTTGTTGCAGTTTTTTAGCTGGCCTGGGCCAGGTTCAAACCTGCCACCCTGGGTGTATGTGGCTGGCACCATAACCACTGTGCTATGGGCGCCGAGGCAGACATCGCCTTTTTTTTTTTTTTTTTTTTGAGACAGAGCTTCAAGCTGTCCCGCTGGGTAGAGTGCTGTAGCATCACAGCTCACAGCAACCTCCAACCTCTGGGCTCAAGCGAGTCTCCTGCCTCAGCCTCCCAAGTAGCTGGGACCACAGGCACCAGCCACAATGCCCAGCTATTTTTTGATTGCAGCTGTCATTGTTATTTGATGGGCCCGGACTGGATTCGAACCCGCTACCTTAGGTGTACATGGCTGGCGCCTTAGCTACTTGAGCCACAGGTGCCGAGCCAGACATTACCTATTCCTGAGGCTGGTGGGTTGGCCTGCCACTGGCCCAGGTATGAAGTAGGGATTAGGATTCCACTTTGGAGGCCCCTCTCTTTGGGCTTCTCCTTTTCCTAGTCCTCTGGCTGAAGAGAGCAAGCTTTTTTTCTGTTTTTGAATATACATTTATGTGCTTGGGAGATCTGTGCTATAGGCCTCCCGGACACCTAGCTTGGAATATAAAAAGAAAACCCCAAGGAACTCACCATCGTGTCACCCCTCAAGTCCTGAGGTGACCTAAGTATCTATCCTTATGCCAGTATCACACTGTTTCATGCAATTTTTTTTGAGACAGGGTCTCATTCTGTTGCCCTAGAGTGCAGTGATATCACCATAGCTCACTCTAATCTCTAACTCCAGGCTCAAACAATCCTCCTACCCCAGTGTCCTGAGTAGCTGG